AAAGGAAGGGGGGGGGAACGCTTGGAAGGAGGGGCCGCACCGAGCGGCGAGCAACCATTGAAGAGGGGGGGCAGGCGCAGCGGGGAAGGAGGCGCAGCAGCAATGGAGCGAGCAGCAAAAGGGGGGGGGGGCCAGCCCAGGACAGATGCCAGCCAGCGCCCCAGCTAGTGGCCCAAACAGAGCAGCCGGGCGCGCCGCGGACGCGAGCGGCCAAGGAGCAGTTGGGGCGCGCAACACCCGTCGCAGGCACGCGCGCGGGCGCGGGTCGGTCGGGGTTTCCCGCCCCCCCCGCCGAACCCGGCAGGCACTTATACCTGACATGGTTGTCCTCCTCCTCCCCCCTCCCCTTTCAAGTTCCTCTCCTCCCGCTTTCCCCGTTTCCTCCTTTTCCTCCTTTTCCTCCTTATCCTCGTCTTCCTCCTCCTCCTCCTCCTCGTCCTCCTCCTCCTTCTCCCCCTTCCTCCTCGTCCTCAACATCATCATCATCATCATCATCATCATCAGCATCATCATCATCATCATCATCATCATCATTATCATCATCATCATCATCATCATCATCATCATCATCATCATCATCACCACCACCATCAGTTTCCGCAACACCCTCTTATTGTGTGTATCGTGTGGCCTGTTTAGAAGAAAGTTATCATGAGTATTACTATTACGGTTTCAAATATTAGTCGTATGACTATGTTTCGTAGTGTGGTTAATAATCAAAATAGTCATATCCGTCTTGGTAATAAATCGTTGCTATACTTTGCGTTCTTCTCAATAGTATTATTCTTCCCAAAATTCCACTACAATTATTAGTTCAATACGTGTTATCGTCCGTGGTACAGTCATTATTATTATTATTCGTAACAATCGCCGTAATAGAATTGTTATTCGTGTTCTTCCTAGTCTTATTACTCGCATTAGCTTATCATTAGTATCGCGAAACTTGTTATTACATTTAGACATGCCATTCGTATTACTGATAGTCATTTTACTTGTAATACTCATATGGCTAAGATTGTTATACTTCGTAACCGAAGTGTTGTCAGTATTGTTGTGGTGTCGTCGTTGGTGCGGCCATCCCTTTCATATATATAATACTAACCCCCCCAAAAAAAAACGATCCGATTGTGATTACTAGTTCGTGGAATGTTTTTCTTAGTACTAGCATTAAAACTGTTCATATCCCTATGATTATGACAGTGTGTTGGTTTTTCTTATGCTTCCGTTTACGTACTCTCAGCATTAACAAACAGTATGACCATAATGTTACTATGTGTCTGATTAGTATAATTGACCGTATCAGTACTATCGTTACTCGCAGTATTATTATCGTCCCTCTTAGCATTCGCCCCATTACCCTTGTCATCAAAAACTATTACTAATCTCGTTGTCATTATTATCATGCCTCTCCCTCCTCCGCGCCCTCATCATCACCCTCCGCCACCTTTCCCTCCCCCTCCTCCTCCTCCCCCTCCTCCTCCTCCTCCTCCTCCTCCTCCTCCTCCTCCTCTTGACCCTCCTCGACCTCCTCCCGCCCCCCCTCGTTCATCGATTGATCGGTCACTAAGGGGTGAGTCTGACTCCCAATCGAACGGCGAAAGGAACAGCGGCGGTAAGGAAATAAGGAAAAAGAGAGAGAGAGAGAGGAAGCGATCGCGGCACCGGGCAAGCCTCATCAGTGAACGCCGACGCATCTCTTCCCCCAACTCCCTGTTTGAAGCCCAATCCCAGCACGCGAGGACGCCCCTTGTAGGCGCCCGGCCCCGCGCGGGAGTCGGCGGTAGGATGTCGTCGGCGGCGCCCCCCCCCTCCTCCCCCTCCTCTTCCAAGAGCGAAACGCGCGGCAGACAGGAGGGCCCGCGCGTCGCTCTCGCTGATGCTCTGCACGCCAGCGCGCAGGGCCTCGCATCGCACCTCACCGTGCATCTCGGACGCGGCGACAGGGAATGCTAAGAAGATTGGGAGGGAGCAGAAGGGCCATCGAGTCTAGAAGCTGAGCAACGAGCGGGAAGAGACGCGGGCAGCCCCGATAATGTTCTACGCTGCCGGGCTCATCAGGGCACCCTATCATGCATATAAGAGCAATGTTTCGGTCAACCAACTCTTGAGAAACGTTCTGATACACCCTGAAGCGCAACATATTTTGGGCGAGGTCGTTTGAACCTGGCCCCAGCAAATAGCACAGATAGGGTCGATGTCGGCACGAAACCAAAAGACGGCGGGCCTAAAACTCCGACCAGTCATCAGAGAGGAGAACACGCTAAAATCCGGCACTGGAATTTAAAAGAAACAAACAGGCCTCAGGAAACCATCTCTCCAACGACGGGCCTCAGCATCGCACCCGGGCAATTCGTCGTGATATTCACGATATAGGACACGCTTGGAACGCCTCGCGCACGCGCTCGCAGAATCTCTCGCTTTCCTGAACTTCGGCGAGCGCCGGCCCTATCCCAATTCCTGCCAGCCGAATTAACTTGGCCGTTTGCAATGACGGCTGGCG